TTATGCGGATACAGTGCGATCGCACCGAACACAAATAGCATGTGATTTGCACAGGAATACGGTGCAAATCACACGCGATACGCTGCACCGCATAAGTGTGAACCCGGGCTTGAAAGCGGTATTAACCAATTGCCTACCGGGCACTTATACCCCCTTCTTTACCAGGCCAATTTTCAGCTTTTAGCGCTGTTTGCACTTTGAATGACAATTGTGCGGTCATGCAACATTGTACCCATATGACATTTTTAGCATGTTTTTCTCACAGATAGAGCTTTCTTTTGGTGGTATTGAATCGCCGCTGGGTGCTTTACTTTTTGTGCTATTATCAATAAAAGAGCAAAACATTTTGAAAAAAAAAAAGTTTCTTTGTTTCTATTATACAATTTTGCAAACAGGTAATTGTTCTCCTTCACTGATGTGCGTTGATGAGGCTGCACTGATAGGCAGCACTGATAGGCGGCACTGATAGGCAGCACTAATGAGGTGGCACGGATAGGTGGCACTGATAGGTGGAACTGATAGGCGGCACTGATGATGGGTACTGATAGTCAGCACTGATAGCAGCACTGACTGGCAGCACTGCTGGGCACTGACTGGCTGCACTGCTGGGCAATTGACTGGGGCAACTGCTGGGCACTGACTGGCACAACTGCTGGGCACTGACTGGCAGCACTGCTGGGCTGCACTGATGTGCACTGGTGGGCAGCACTGATGTGCACTGTGGGCAGCACTGATGGGCACAGGTGGGTGACACAGGTGGGTGGCACTGATGGGCACAGGTGGGTGACACAGGTGGGTGGCACTGTTGGGCACAGGTGGGTGAAACGGGTGGGTGGCACTGATGGGCACAGGTGGGTGACACAGGTGGGTGGCACTGATGGGCATAGGTGGGTGACACAGGTGGGTGGCACTGCTGGGTACTGGTGGGTGGCACTGATGGGCATAGGTGGGTGACACAGGTGGGTGGCACTTCTGGGCACTGGTGGGTGGCACTGATGGGCATAGATGGGTGACACAGGTGGGTGGCACTGCTGGGCACTGGTGGGTAGCACTGCTGGGCACAGGTGGGCAGAACTGGTGGGTAGCACTGCTGGGCACAGGTGGGCAGAACTGGTGGGTGGCACTGCTGGGCACCGATCATCAGTGCCCTGATGATCGGTGCTGATCCCTGCTCTGACAACTGCCGTTTCTCGGAAGTACTTTCCTCACTCTCTGACAGCGTGAGGAAAGTGCAGCCAAGAACCGGCAACTGCATTTCCCAGTGATCAGCGTATCACTAGACACGGCTGATCACGTGGTAAAAAGCCGCTGTGATTGGCCTTTTACCACATCATGTGATCAGCTGTGTCCGTAGGACACAGTGTTCATGGAGATTGGCGGGTGCGCACCCCCGGGGGGGCGTGAAGGAGAGCGCGTTCTGGGAGGATGTCATATGACGCCGTCCCAGAACTGGCCGGCCGCCGTGTAGCCGTCATTCGGTTATCTGCAGTCGGCAGCTAGTTAACCCAAACATTTATTATAAATAAAAAAATGCAGCGCTATAAAACACAGCATATCTGACATAAATATAATGTAAGGTGGCATGTGACTATTCATATATCAAAGCGCTGAAGATGAGCGCAATAAAGTGATAATGGTGCGTCGCCTTATTAGACGAATAAAAATGAGGTAGATGCACTATATAAACGTATAACAGTACATAAAATGACTTTTCCTTAGAGGTGCCTAAATTATTTATATTGCAACTCCATCTGGCGATCCTTCCAGTAAAAACTGTTGTTTTTTCAACAGAATAATCTCTCTTCTAGTTACAGGGATGAGACAAACTGTTTACCACTGACAGGGTGCTTACAATGATCAGCTTATTTATATAAAACCTTTATCTGTGCTCAGGGGCGGACTGACAATTCATGAGGCCCCCGGGCAATAGGGGATCATAGGGCCCCTGTGTCCTTGCCCACACTCAAAAAGGCCTATAAAAAAGGTACCAGGGGCATTTCATGGGGCCCCCTACTGACCTCGGGTCCTCGGGCAGTGCCCGATTGCTCGAAGGGTCAGTCCGCCCCTGTCTGTGCTTATGTCTCCAAGAATGTCTGGAACAACCTACCTGCCTGAGTTCCTTCAAAAACTGTGTGTCAAAGCAGGCCATACATGGTTCGAATTGATTTTTTTTTTGTTCGAAAATCAAAAACGTCATTCGCTCTGTAGTCCAATGCCATCAATGATTTCGAAAATCGGTCGTTTTTCACAAATTTTCCCCAACATGCCCAAAAAAAATGGGGAGGAACCACGAAAATCGCCCGGTGCCATTGCCCCCACTAACAGAGCGAAAATCGGTCGATTATTCTTAGGTCCGATTTTTGAACGAAAAATCGTTTGGAAAATTCGGCCCATATATGGCCGGCATAAGTCCACCTAGAAAAAAGGCACAAGGTGGCCACACCAAATGTTGATTTGATTGGGATTTCTCTTCTGTTCATTTACTTTTCCATTTTGGTACTTGATAAAAAATAAGTAATGAACACTTCTATTTCTGGAAGCATTCTTCATTTACAGCATTTTTTTCACAACTGCCTATTACTTTTGCACAGAATTGTGTGTATATATATATATATATATATAATATATACTATTATATATAAATATATGTATTTTATATATGTAAATATATCCCCCCCCTATGTTTTTGCATTGTCACTGTTACTGTTCTGTCACATGTTTCTGTCCCCTTTGTAATGTACAGCGCTGAGCGATCTATTGGCGCTTTATATACTGTATAATTATATTATATATATATTTTTTTTTTTTATATATGTAAATATATATATATTTATATATATATATATATATATATATACATATACATTTTTTATATATATATGTATACTATATATATATTTTTTATATATATATATATATATGAAAAAAAAATATATATAAATATATATATATATATTTATATATATATTATTAAAAATATTTTTATATATGTAAATATATATATAAAAATATATATTATATATATGTATGTAGTGTATATATTTATATATATATTTAGAATATATTAGAATTATATATATATATATATTATATTATATATATATATATAATATTATATATAAAATATATATATATATAAAAATAAATATTTTATATTATAATATATATATATATTAAAATAATATTGAATATTGAAATGATATAAATAATAAAATTATAATAAATTTACACATTACTGCAATGTTCCCTCTAACAGCATATAGGTAAAAGGATCACATTAACCCCTTCGCCCCTTCAGAGGATTCCCCCCCTTCCTGACCAGGCCATTTTTTGCGAAACAGCGCTGCGTTACTTTAAACTGACAATTGCGCAGTCATGCAACCCTACACCCAAATGAAATTTACGTCCTTTTTTCCCCACAAATAGAGCTTTCTTTGCGTGGTGTTTGATTGCCGCTGAATTTTTTCTTTTTTGCGCTATAAACAAAAAAAATACCAACAATTTTGGGGAAAAAAAAAAACAATATCTTTGACTTTTTGCTATAAAAAAAAAAAAAAAAAATCTCTAATTTCGTCATAAATTTAGGCCAAAATGTATTCTGCTCCGTGTCTGCGAAAGAAAATCCCAATACGTGTAAATTAATTGTTTTACGTGAAAGTTATAGCGTCTGCAAATGGCGGTATAGATACTGGGATTTTTATTTTTTTTCCTTTATATTAGTAATGGGGGCAATCAGCGACTTATAGCGGGACTGCATCGGGCATTTTGGCACTGGGGGGAGGGAACTGACTAACTGTTGCTGACATCCTCAGTGACACTAAGCCCGGGTTCACATATATGCGGTGCGGTATATCGCATGTGATTCGCACAGGAACCGCACCGCATTCCTTCGCACATCACATGCGATTTGTGTGCTGTGCGATGGGAGACGTACATTGTGTATGGCTCTAATCTCACCGATCCCGCAGCAAAAAGGCGCAGGACCCTTTTTTTGGGTCCGCACTAGAATCGGATCGCATGGGTATTCAAACCTATGCGATCTGATTCTGCAGATCGCACCGCATTTTGCAGACCGATTTCGGGTGTCACACCCGCAGCGGTTCACACGAACGTTGTGCGATTCTGATGCGGTGCGGAATTCACACAGAAGACTCTGCAAAGTCCGCACCGCATCAGTGTGATCCAAGGCTGAGGGATTGATTTACTAAAACTGGAGAGTGCAAAATCTGGTGCAGCTGTGCATGGCAGCCAATCAGCTTCTACCTTCAGCTTGTTCAATGAAACTTAGACAATAAAACCTGGAAGCTGATTGGTTTCTATGAAGAGCTGCACCAGAGAATGCACTCTCCAGTAAATCAACCTCTAAGGCTAGGTTCACACCTATACAGGTTGCATTTGCGCCATTTCTGCATTGCATTTGCCGCATTTTGCATTTGTTTTAAATTTCTTTTACATTTTTTTTTTTGTTGCTAGGCAGATTTAAAATGCAAAACGAGACGAAAACGCAATACATGGTTTTCTGCAGCATTTCTATTGAAGTCTGTGGAACCAAAAACGCAACTTTTTTGCGTTCAAAAAAAATCCCTGACCCTTTCCAAAAAGCGTACTGGCTGAAAACGCGGAGATGTGAACCTGTCACATAGGAAATCATGTTAAATGGCCTGTAGTGCATTTCTGCAAAACGCGGCAGAGAACGTATAGGTGTGATCCTAGGGTCATAAAGTGATCAGTGTTAATAAAAAAGCACTGACACTGTACTAATGGCGCTGGGCAGGAATGAACATCTGGGGTGATCAAAGGGTTAACTGTGTGTGTTTTACTGTGTTCACTGTGTGTACCTAAGGCTACTTTCACACTAGCTTTGTAAGCAGGCGTTAGACAGGCTTTTGGGAAGCATTTTTAATGCTCCTTAAACACCTATAAAAATTCTACACATGGCCGCACAGTGTGCTGTTCACACTGAAGCGTTAGCGTCACAGCCAGGGGCGGACTGACAACTCATGGGGCCCCGGGCAATAGGGGATCATGGGGCCCCTGTGTCCTTTCCCAAACTCAAAAAAGCCCATGAAAAAGGTACCATGGACATCTCATGGGGCCTTCTACTGACCCCGGGCCCTCGAGCAGTGCCCGAGTTTCCAAATGGTCAGTCCGCCGCTGGTCGCGGCAAAATTGACGCCTCATGTCGAGTCAGGAGCAGTTGAAGCATCCCATTCAAGTCTATGGGGATGGTCCTCAAACGCCTGGCAGGCATTTGCGGGGCATTTGTGAGGCGGTTGCAAGGCGTTTGGAGCGTTAATACCATTGCACTTCATTGTAGGCGTTTGTGTTGCGGTTTTAGCGCTTGGCAAACACCTAATCAAACACCTCAAAAACGCGCAAGGGGCATTTGGGGAGAGTTTGAGGAGCGTTTAAAATGCTTCCCAAACGCCTGTCAAATGCTATAGAGGCATTTGGCAAGTGTTAGAAATTAGTCAAGTGTGAACGAGCCCTTACTGTGTAAGCATGCTGCTTTGTATGGCTGTGCTATGCAGAGCCATACAAAGCAGTGTTCTGGAGCTGACAGGGGAGAGATCTGTATTGTTTGCATACAGACCTCTCCCCTGTCAGGATTACTCAGCGATCGTCTATGGGACAGGGGCGGACTGACCATTTGGAAACTCGGGCACTGCTCGAGGGCCCGGGGTCAGTAAGGGGCCCCATGAGATGCCCCTGGTACCTTTTTCATAGGCTTTTTTGAGTTTTGGCAAGGATACAGGGGCCCCATGATCCCCTATTGCCCGGGGGCCCCATGAGTTGTCAGTCCACCCCTGCTATGGGGCATCACTGGCCAGGACCTGGTGAGCAAAATCTGTAGCAGCCAATGGCGGCGCGGGCAGGGCCTACCCAGAAATACAAAATCATGTATATGTATGTGATTTTGCGCAGCCCTGCCACCCCGCAGCAGTATTTCTGCTATAGGGCGTCAGGAAGTGGTTAATAAGCCAAAAAATCAAATGATGTGGAGGAGATGAGGACAGAACATTGAGCCCGGTTCACATATATGCGTTGCTGTACATCGCATGTGATTCGCACAGGAACCGCACCACATTCCTGTGCGAATCACATGCGATTTGCGTGCGGTGCGATCGGAGTCGTACATTTATATGGCTCTAATCTCACCGCTCCCGCACCAAACACGTGCAGGACCCTTTTTTTGGGTCCGCACTAGAATCGGATGGCACGGGTATTCACACCTATGCGATCCGATTTCTGCACATCACACCGCGCTTTCGGGGTGCTGTTAACATACACACCCGCAGCAGTTCGCATGAACGGGGTGCGATTCTGATGCGGTGCGGAATTCGCACAGAAAACGCTGCAAATTCCACACACACATCTGTGTGAACCCGGGCTTATACCGTAAATAATTTTTCAAAAAAAACATGAAAATAATATAAAAAATAAAAGACCAAAACTGATGTAGAGGGGGTGAGGACAGGACATGGAGTTTCATCGCACTTTTTTCTTCTCTTGTAGATCAGTTCCGGTGTCTTTCAAGGACTCGCCATCCTCTGGTAATTCTTCTCACATACCTGACGCGGTGGGATTGTGCGGATTGCCGGTGATCTGGTCCCGGTATTGTCATTTCAGCTGCAGCACGCCAGAAGTTAATAAGACGTCTCTCTGCCTTCCATATTAATCAGGCAGAGGGCTCCGGAGATTTCCTGCGAGCGGGTCTCTCCGCACCGACCTCCGAGCGGCACCTTGTTCCAGTTTATTGGTTTACTTTCATATCAGCGTGGAGCAATGACAAGCGCTGACCCTACGCCGCCGGGGGCGCACCGCTCTATATTCATTCATTGGATATCTCGATTCCTCGCCTAAAATACTCTGCATGGCTGTTAATTGGAGAAATAAAAACAGAGCCAAAGCAGTGACCTGCTGACGGTTCATTTATTCTATTCTTTTTAAGGTTTAATAAGAAAGAAAAAATGATTTGGCGTTCATTGCTGGAAGATTTTATGCTGAGAAGTGCAGAATAGGTCCCCCCTGGGAGAAGACAGAGCAGATGTGGTGTAGGGGCAACTAGGCAGCAGTCCTGTTCAGAGGCATTATCTAGCAGTTCTTTTAATCCCCTAAAGCTGCAATGTGTCTTATTATTAACTCTTTTGTTTTTCATTGTTCAGAATTGCTGTAGGAGAACGCGGTTATTCTGCTTGCAGTTTGCTAACAATTAAATATGAAGTATCGCCACAATGTCTTGTTGAATCCACTAGGACATCAAGTACATGTAGCTCTTGATCCCGTTCAGTTATGTGCTGTGGTTAGGAAATAAAAAGGATATTTTATTTCTGCCTTTTCCACCCCAGGCTGAAGCCCAATTTATGGGCGGTTCAATGAGGCCAGCCATGATAGCCAGCGCCCGCTATTGCAGCAAAATATAACAGTAAAATAGAAGATCATGTTGCTATTTAAAGAAATATTCAACAGGATTTTATATTGTTACATAGCTACATAGTTAGTCTGGCTGAAAAAAAGACAAAAGTCCATCCAGTTCAACCATTAAAAAATAAATAAATAAATATATATATATATATATATATATATATATAATCCTATACCCACAGTTGGGCAAAAAGGCAAAAAAACCCAGCAAAGCACGATCCAATTTGATCCTGCAGGGAAAAAAATTCCTTCCTGATCCCCCGAGAGGCAATCGTATATTCCCTGGATCAATTTTCTCTAGCTCCCTGGTGTCCTCCCCCCATGCCCAATTGCAGGACTTCTCCAGGGCGTCCCCCATCCTCTGAACTCCCTACCCCCAATCCATCAGACTGTCACCTACCCTCCTCACCTTCAGGCGCACCCTGAAAACCCTCCTCTTCAGGGAAGCCTACCCCGCCCTCACCTAACACCTGATCTCACCTAACAACTAACCTCCTCCACTCCTCCTACCACTCCATCCCCCACAGCCATCTCCTCCTGTACCACCTTCCCCTCCCTCCTAGATTGTAAGCTCGAAAGAGCAGGGCCCTCGAACCCCTTGTGTATTGTATTATTACTGTCTTGTCTCATGTTATGTCCCCCTTGCTACTGTACAGCGCTGAGCATACCCTTTGGCACTATATAAATACTGTATAATAATAATAATAATTTTACATATAAATGTTATATCCAGTTATAGTCTGTGTATCTAAGAAGCTCTTGGTCCTGTTCAGATATGTGCTGTGGTCAGGGGCGGACTGACAACTTATGGGGCCCCCTGGGCAATAGGGGATCATGGGGCCCCTGTGTCCTTGCCCACACTCAAAGCACACCCAATAAAGCCTATATAAAAGGTACCAGGGGCATTTCATGGGGCCCCCTACTGACCCCGGGCCCTCGGGCAATGCCCGAGTGCTCAAATGGTCAGTCCGCCCCTGGCTGTGGTTAGGTAATGAAAAGCATATTTTATTTTATTTATGCCTTTTCTGTAGGTCCACCCCAGGCTGAAGCCCAATTTATGGGCGTTTTAATGAGGCAATTATAGCCATCGCCCCGTTTCAGCAAAATATAATAGTAAAATGGAGGATCATGTTGCTATTTAAAGAAATATTCAACACGTTTTTACATTGTTGCATAGTTACATAGTTAGTCTGGCTGAAAAAAGACAAAAGTCCATCCAGCTCATCTATTAGAAAAAAAAAAAGTTATAATCCTACACCCACAGCTGATCCAGAGGAAGGCAAAAACCCAGCAAAGCACGATCCAATTTGCTCCTGCATGGGGAAACAAATTCCTTCCTGATCCCCCGAGAGGCAATCGGTTATTCCCTGGATCAACTTTCCCTATAAATGTTATATCCAGTTATATTCTGTGTATCCAAGAAAGAATCCAGGACTTTCCTACAGCAATCCACTGAGCTGGCCACAACCAACTCTTGAGGGAGTCTATTCCACATTCTCACAGATCTTACTGTGAAGAAACCTTTCCGTGTTTGGAGATTACATTTTTTTTCCTCCAGACGTAAAGAGCGCCCCCCTTGTCCTCTGTGATGACCTCAGGGTGACCTCTACACCGAGTTCACTATATGAACCACTGAAGTATCACACATGGAGATCATATCCCCCCTTATGTATTATACATGGAGATCATATCCCCCCCTTATGTATTATACATGGAGATCATATCCCCCCTTATGTATTATACATGGAGATCATATCCCCCCTTATGTATTATACATGGAGATCATATCCCCCCTTATGTATTATACATGGAGATCATATCCCCCCTTATGTATTATACATGGAGATCATATCCCCCCTTATGTATTATACATGGAGATCATATCCCCCCTTATGTATTATACATGGAATCATATCCCCCCTTATGTATTATACATGGAGATCATATCCCCCTTATGTATTACACATAGAGATCATATCCCCCCTTATGTATTCCACATAGAGATCATATCCCCCCTTATGTATTCCATACATGGAGATCATATCCCCCTTTGTATTATACATGGAGATCATAACCCCCCCCCCTTATGTATTATACATGGAGATCATATCCCCCCTTATGTATTATACATGGAGATCATATCCCCCTTATGTATTATACATGGTGATCATATCCCCCTTATGTATTATATATGGAGATCATATCCCCCCTTATGTATTATACATGGTGATCATATCCCCCCTTATATATTATACATGGAGATCATATCCCCCCTTATCTATTATACATGGAGATCATATCCCCCCTTATGTATTATACATGGAGATCATACCCCCCTTATGTATTATACATGAAGATCATATCCCCCCTTATGTATTATACATGGAGATCATATCCCCCTTATGTATTATACATGGCGATCATATCCCCCCTCATGTATTATACATGGTGATCATATCCCCCCTTATGTATTATACATGGAGATCATATCCCCCCTTATGTATTATACATGGTGATCATATCCCCCCTTATGTATTATACATGGAGATCATATCCCCCCTTATGTATTATACATGGAGATCATATCCCCCTTATGTATTATACATGGAGATCATATCCCCCTTATGTATTATACATGGAGATCATATCCCCCCTTATGTATTATACATGGGGATCATATCCCCCTTATGTATTATACATGGAGATCATATCCCCCTTATGTATTATACATGGAGATCATACCCCCCTTATGTATTATACATGGAGATCATATCCCCCCTTATGTATTATACATGGAGATCATATCCCCCCTTATGTATTATACATGGAGATCATATCCCCCTTATGTATTATACATGGTGATCATATCCCCTCTTATGTATTATACATGGAGATCATATCCCTCCTTATGTATTATACATGGAGATCATATCCCCCGTTATGGTCTTCCAAGTGTAGAAGGTTTTCCATGCGCAGAAGATCTTCCAAGTGCACAAGAAAATCTTCCATATGTTCAAGAAGGTCTTCAATGTTTAGAAGGTCTATCATGTGCACAAGAAGGTCTTCCTTTTGCACAAGAAGATCTTTCATGTGCACAAGAAGGTCTTCGATGTGTAGAAGGTCTATTGTGTGCACAAGAAGGTCTTCATTTTGCACAAGAAGATCTTCCATGTGCATAAGAAGGTCTTCCATAATCACAAGAAGGTCTCCCATGTGCAGAAGGTGTTCCATGTGCTCAAAAAGGTCTTCTGTGTGCTCAGGAACATCCTCTATGTGCCAAGAAGGACTCTGCAGAAGGTCTTCCATGTGCACAAGAAGGTCTTCTATCTGTAAAAGGTCTTCAATGTGCAGAAGATCTTCCAAGTGCACAAGAAGGTCTTCCATGTGCTCAAGAATGTCTTCAATGTGTAGAAGGTGTTCCATGTGTACAAGAAGGCCTTCCATGTGCACAAGAATTTCTTCTGTGTGCAGAACGTCTTCCATGTGCTCAAGAAGGTGTTCCATATGCTCAAGAAGATCTGTGCAGAAGGTCTTCTATCCGTAGAAGGTCTTCAATGTGCAGAAGATCTTCCAAGTGCAGAAGATCTTCCAAGTGCAGAAGAAGGTCTTCCATGTGCTCAAGAATGTCTTCAATGTGTAGAAGGTCTTCCATGTACAAAAAGCCTTCCACACAAGAATTTCCTCCGTGTGCAGAACGTCTTCCATGTGCACAAGAATTTCCTCTGTGCACAGAACGTCTTCCATGTGCTCAAGAAGGTGTTCCATATGTTCAAGAAGATCTGTGCAGAAGGTCTTCCATGTGCACAAAAAGGTCCTCCATGTGCAGAAGGTCTTCCATGTGCAAAAGGTCTTCCATGTGCGTAAGTGCAGCCCACATACTGTACATACTCATAAGACCAGGCTGTATGAAGGAGAGATGAGTTCATCCTTAGATGGTAAATAAGTTTTTTAAGTTATTCCATCTTTTTATCCTTTTCAGAATAAAATACCCTATATTGAAAAAAGAACAAGAATAATTGGTGGAATTAACTACTAAAAATAATAAAACTGTTAGGAAAATAGAATTAGCTGTTCTGTTTGCCCTTCACTTAATGAGGAAATATGAGTTTCATGAATCGCTAATTACTCACAGATGTAAACCTGTTTCCCGTACAGTACAAATCTCATGCAAGGTTTGTGGTAATTAAAGACAGGAACTGTAATCGTCAGTCTTTGTATAAACCATTTAGATCAATGCAGACTTCCATCCAATATTGAGGGTGATAACCGAAAATGCAAATTACTCCTCAAACACGTATTACCAGAAGACTGGCGGAGAATTCATATCAGACGCTTGTCCCTTGGCGGCATATTTATAAACAATCACATTTGCCGTATTTATAATAGGACAAATGTGTGCTGGACAATTCTGACATCCAGTGAATGTGTACAGTGGTGTATTTAGGTTTTGTGCTGACCTAGGCAACTCAAAAATCGTCTGCCTCCATGGAAATGGGCCAACACCACCACCACACCCCCTCCCGCGGAGAGAGCCTGACTTTGACCAAAACACCCCTGCTGCCCCCTACCTGCGGGAGAGCCTTCCACTACCACCCCCCACCCCCTGGTGAAAGAGAGAGACACTTGTCATCTTCTCACCTCCAGACATCCCTAGGAATGAGAGTCGGGCTCTGCATACACCATCAAGCAGCCCGCAGGCTCTCTCGGATCCCACCTTGTTCCAATGGCACATGTGTCCCTTCTTCCCTTCTTCTGGGAGGAAGGCGCTGCCCCCTGAAAAATGCCGCCCTAGGCAAATGCCTTGTTTCCTTGTGGTAAATACGCCCCTGAATGTGTGCTCAAAGTACAGTTAGTTGTTTCAGCGGCTATCTCTCCGGTCCCAATACATTTAGGGCCAAATTTTAGGGCTTAAAGTGGAAATATTCTGTACCTGAGCACCAAAAACTGAAAATGATATTTAAATCGTTTTTAATTTTCACAGAAATTCCCCCATCCATCCATGTCTCCATGTGGATTGTTCTCCAATTCCAGAAGACGCCATTGTTGGAGAAACACGCGTCGGGCGGAGCTTTCTGTGACTGGCACTACAATTTGTTCTTTAAGCTCCAAGGTCATATGTCTAAGCCCAGCATCTACGATGACCATCCCCCTTCACATCAGAGCCCCCATTTACGTCAGAGCCCCCTATCGCATCAGAGTCCAGACCAGGGGTGGACTGACAACTCATGGGGCCCCTGGGCAATAGGGGATCATGGGGCCCCTGTGTCCTCACCCACACTCAAACCACACCTAAAAAAGCCTATAAAAGGTACCATGGGCAGTTCTTGGGGCCCCCCTACTGACCCCGGGCCCTTGGGCAGGGCCCGAGTGCTCAAATGGTCAGTCCGCCCCTGGACCAGACATCATATCAAAGTCCCCCCATCAGAGGGACATCAGAGGCCCCCCCATCACCACACAGTCACCCCATCACATCAGAGTTCCCCTATACACAAGAGCCCCCCCCATCACATCAGAGTATCCCCTTGACTGATTTCCATCAGAGTTCCCCATCACCAAAGCGTCCCCCCATCACATCAGAGTATCCCCATGACTGATTCCCATCATAGTCCCCCATCACCAAAGAGTTGTTTCATCCATCTCTGACCCAGGGCAAATAGGGTCTTGTGCTCGCAGGACCCCGGAGGAACCCATATGGCACCCTGGTTGAGAAACACTGCTTTAGATCTATCAATAGCCATGTAGTGGGAGGACCAGCAATGTAGTTGGGCGAAGCTTTCTGTGACGTCACCTTGTTCCGGCCGGTGCTCTGACACTGTGGGAATTTTAAATTTTTATACTGCCTTTATGCACCTTATCTATGGAAGTGCAATACTTTAATAAATTCTTTGCTGGTTTATCAGGTCGCACTATGAGGTTTTCTTCTTCTGCTTTAAACCTTGCCTGATTTGGAGAGCCCTCTGATGTGATGGTTTCGTCCAA